ATCCATCCATCCATCCATCCATCCATCCATCCATCCATCCATCCATCCATCAGAATAGAGCTGGAAGGGACCTTAGAGGTCTTCTAGTCCAACCCCTGCTCAAGCAGGAGACCCTATACCACGGCTGTCCAATCTCTTCTCGAAAGCCTCCAGGGATGGCGCGCCCACAAGGTCTGGTGGCCAACCGTTCCACTGGCTAATGGTTCTCATTATGAAGAAGTGAATCCTTCATTTCTCTTTCATTTCTCCTTTCTCTCTTTCTCTCTCTCAAGGGCAGGTAAGGGAGGGGGGAGGGACATGCCCCAAAGGCTGGATGGGGAGGGCAGGGAAAGGACAGTTACGGCCACGTTGATTCCCATCCCCCACAGCTGTCCTGCTGGGATGACCAAAGGCCACTGCAATTTTGCAGCCGGCTGGGATAGTGGGGAGGGGGGAACCTCTGGCGTGGGAAACAAACGCTCCTTGACACCTCGGGACCCTCTTCTCTGCGTGCTCAGGTGCCAAACCCCCTTCATGGGGTTACTTGACAGGGGTATGACACCTTCTTGTCCCAGCTGCTCCGGCACCCGGAGCGAGTTTGCATAACAATCCAGGCCCGAGTTTGGCCGGTTGTCTTGCCAATAAACCCCAGTGGCGTCGCACCCCAGAAGGAAGACCAAGTCAAAGGTCCCATTGCTTCCCTCCTCTAGTTAGGACGCTAACTGAAGCTGCGTGATTAACGCGGGTGAAGTGCTTAGGGGTGCTCCTTGCCTGCCCGTTCTTGCTTCACAGGAAGGCAGAAAAAAGCAGCTCTGTGGATTTGGAAGCTGGCTGGGCAGGAGATGGGGGGGGGCAGCATTTTTTTTTTGCATTTCCCGCCCCCCCCCTGGCCTTGGAATTGGGGTCCACCAGCATCTGGAAGGCTGCAGCCCCCAAACCCTGAGAGGAAGGGAGCCGTGATTGGGTTCTGGGGCTCAGCTCCGAGGGTGGGCTTAGCCAGAGAGGCTCAGCCAGCTCTGGGTCAGGATCAGACCCCCTGGCTAAAATGGGGCCGGTGGGTTTGGGGGCTCCCTGTGCCTTGGAATACAGACGAAGCATATTCCAGCAATGGCAGGTGGGCTCCTAGGAAGGGAACACTCTGGGCGTGAGATGGGAGGATGCCTGGATTTGACCTATGAATAAAAAGGAGGGTTTAGACGAGTGTTTTTCAATCCTGGCAAATGGAAGTTGGTTGGATTGCAATTCCAGGAAGGAAGGAAGGAAGGAAGGAAGGAAGGAAGGAAAAGGGAGCATAGGAAAGGAAAGGAATAGGAGGAAGGAAAGAAAAGGAAGAATAGAAGGAAGGAAGGAAGAAGGAAGGAAGGAAAGAAGGAAGCAAGGAAGGAAGGAAAGAAGAGAGAGAATAGAAGGAAGGAACGAAGGAAAGAAAAGGGAGAATAGGAAGGAGGGAGGGAATAGGAGGAAGGAAAGAAAAGGGAGAATAGAAGGAAGGAAGGAAGGAAAGACGGAAGCAAGGAAGGAAGGAAAGAAGAGGGAGAATAGAAGGAAGGAAGGAAGGAAGGAAGGAAGGAAGGAAGGAAGGAAGGAAGGAAGGAAAAGGGAGAATAGGAAGGAAGGAAAGAAGGAAAGAAGGAAGGAAGGAAAGAAGGAAAGAAGGAAGGAAGGAAAGAAGGAAGCAAGGAAGGAAGGAAGAGGGAGAATAGAAGGAATGAAGGAAGGAAAGAAAAGGGAGAATAGAAGGAAGGAAGGAAGGAAAGAAAGAAAAGGGAGAGTAGGAAGGAGGGAGGGAATAGGAGGAAAGAAAGAAAAGGGAGAATAGAAGGAAGGAAGGGAAAGAGACAGAGAGACAGAGAGAGAAACGAGGAAGGGAGGAAAGTGGAGAAAGGGAGAAAGAAAGAGAGAGAAGGAAGATAGGAAGGAAGAAAAAAGAAAGAATGAATGAAAGAAAGAGAAAGAAAGAAAAGACCGTTGCTCTCTTTTCCCCGCCCCTTTCACACTTCCCTCCTTCCACACTCTCCCCCCACCCAAGCCAAGCCACGTGGGAGACCCGCGGCGAGCCCCAAAGCCGGAGTCCCCCCCCCCTTCCTCCCTCCTCTTGCCCGGTCCCAAGCCCTCCCCTTCCCTTTTATCTGTGGGCGGGGCGGGGGGGCCCGGCAAACCCCTCCCCGGCCTCCTCCCTCTTCCAGCGCGGGCAGGGAGGAGGAGGAGGGGGGGGCGCGGGCGGAGGGAGGTTTTAAAGCCGGGCGGAGCCGAGCCAGGACGCGGGTCCGGCCGAAACGCGGCGCGGGAGGGACGGGTCCTTTGGAGGCTGAGGCTGAGGCTGCTGAGGCTGCTGCTGCCGCCGCGATGCTGCACGGCTGCGGGCAGAAGCTGCTGCTCTCGCTGGTGGGCTCCACGCTGACCTGCCTGCTGGTGCTGATGGGGGAGCCGCCCAAAGGGCCTCAGGGACTCAGCCTGGGGGGCGACGGGGGCGACGGCCGGGGCTCCCTCCTGCTCCAGCGGGGGACGCAGGGCTGGCTGCGGCGCTGGAGGAACGACCCTCGGCCGGACCTCGGCGGCTCTTTCAGCGGCTACTTCAGCCAGCTCGGCCGGGCTAAGAGAGAAGGCGGCGGCGGGGGCGGGGGGGCCAGCGAGGAAGCCGGGAAGCAGCGGCGTCCCCAGCAACCGGCCCCCGCCCGGGAAGAGATTTCGCCCCGGGACGTTTTCATCGCCGTCAAGACCACCAAGAAGTTCCATAAGGCGCGGCTGGAGCTGCTCCTGGACACCTGGATCTCGCGCCACAAGGAGATGGTAAGCCGCCTTGGCGGGGGTCCTCCGCGTGTTTTGGGGGGGGGGGGGGGGGGGGCGGGGGGGGATCAGCGGGGTCTTGCTTTGAAGCCCCCCCCTCTTTGGAAGCCCGCCAGGCCGCTATCCAGGTGCTGGAAGAAGCGGCGCTCGCGGGCCTCCCTTTCCCGGCCAGGCGGGCCCTCTGCACGAGGACAGAGGCACTCTGGCTCGCCTCTCTCCGGGCCCGCCAAGGTGCCCGGGCGCTCGCAAAAGCGCGGGTGCCTGCAGCGATGGGGAGGAGGGCGGAGGGAGGAAGCGGCTGCTTGCGGGCCCGCCGCCGTGCCACGGGGGAGGCGGGCGGCGGTGGGTGGGTGGGCGAGTCGAGGCAGGCTCGGCGCCTTGATCTCCGCCCGCCCCGCCTCTGGCCCCGGGGCTGGAAAGCGAGCAGGCACGCTCCGTCCCGCGCTGCCTGCCTGCCGCCTCTCGGGCCCTTTCTGCGCGGCAGGCACGCCGGCGGGTGTTGGGGAATCCGGCGCTGGCTTTGCACTCTGTGCATGCTCAGAGAGGTCTCCCGGGAAAGACTTTCTTGGCCGGGGGTGGGGAATCGGAGCTTCGCCTTCTGGAGTCCCGTGGAGGGTGGGTGGAGAGGGACTTCTCCTGTAAGAGAGGAGGGGGCGACCTAAACCCCTGGTTGTGGGAATGCAGTTGGAACTCGGGAATGGGGTTGAGGTGTTGTGTGAATGCAGCCAGGGCTGCCTTTAAATCAGGGGTGTCAAAACTCGAGGCCTGTGGGCCTCACCTGGCCCAGCCTGGAAACAGGGAAGGACTGGCCCGCAGTGCCCTAGCCAGAGAAAATTGACTTGGGTCGGGGGTTGCAGGGAGCCATCCTGGCCAAAAACAGAACCCAAGAGCCCCCTTTTCCTAACTCAGGCCACCAGAGGTGTCCCCCCCACCGACACAAGCGATGTCGACTGGCCATGCCCCCCCCAGCCCTCCCCCCCAAATCCTGATGCATCCCTCAATGAAGTCAAGTTTGACACCCCTGCACTAAATGCATGAATTGGGCAACAGGGACGGGGCCGCTGAACTTGGGCTCGTATCCTCCTCCTGGGCTCTGGAGTGGCTCTTTCCTAATTCTCTTCCTTGCTAGTTGGTAAAAGTTGCTGTATGTTCACACACACCCTCACTGTGCCTAGTGTTATGTCCCCTCCTTAATTCCTAGTGACATTGTAGGGCCGCCTCCCTTGGCTGGTAGCAGCAGGAAAGCTGACTTAAACTCTCTCTCTCTCTCTCTCTCTCTCTGAATGTGGTTTGCAATATCAAAGCTTTAAACTGGTTTTTAAAATAAAACACACAACCTAACGGCATCTCCTTTAGGACCTCAAAAAGAGGCATTAAAAAAATCACGATAAATCAAATGGACCCTGTTTGCATTTTGCACCAGAAAGCCTTCTGTTTACAAAGTCAGTCTATTGTCATGCAGATTAAAAAAAAGAAAGAAAAGCAACAGGATTTCTGCCCCCACCTTGACTTTTTAACTTGGTCTGATAGTCCTTCCTCCCTCCTTACAGCCGTGAAACCATGCTCCTCCTCCTCCTCCTCCTCCCAAAACGGGGACCATGTGTATTGGAGAAGGAGGGGTCATGTGTGGAAAGGACTCTGATTGACCTCTTGGGGTGCTGATTTAAGATTTGAGATCATGGGTGAAATTTAATCTCAGACTGGTCTTTCTCTCGACCTTAAAATCCACATTTCCACCGCGGGCTAAATAAGCTACATAGTTTGTTTAGCTAAGGTTTAGTCTATCAGCTGCTGTTGTTTAGGTTCAGGTGTTGTACGCTCCACAAGCAAACCGTCTTACGACTGGGCGTGCCCTGGGTTCAACAACTCAGGGTTGCACGCACAAAGCAAACAAACACAGCGGCGCAGGTGCGCTAGTGTTTTATCTGTTTGCGCTGTCCAAGTTGAACAGATGTTCAAGACTCGGCCAGGGCCGTGGATCTGAAATCAGCTGGATTTTATCGCATCCCAACTCTGATAAAAGAAGCTAAAAATTTCACTGTGCTTTTTGCAAGTAGGGTTTGCAGGGAACTGACCTGTTTCAAAGAGGTTTATCAGAAGGAGCAGCGGTTAATAAACCCTTTCCCGGCTGTTTAGCAAACATCACCTAAAGATACAGTGACCTTTATTCTAAAGGACGGCCCTTTAATCGTTTTTATAAAGTTTTGCTTTGGTGTTTTTTTTATGCTCGTGAATTTTTCCTCTGAGAAACAAAAGTTGTAAACAAAAGCGATTCGTTTTTTGTAGCCTTATAAAACTTAGGTCAAATCTGCCCCCTCTTTAAGTTTGTCCTTTATTCCACACACCCCCCCCCAAAAAAATACAGTCATTGTGACTACAAGACTGTTAAAAAGAACATGGCTGGTTTCTCTTAAGGTAGGAGAATCAGAATAATTGTTTTTTTTAAAAAAAGACAAAAAAAAAACAGAATAAAATGAGGAACAATAAGAATGGGAAGGACATCAGCATCCTCCCCCTCTGTGGCCTGAGCTTTAAGGAGTCACTGAATTGTTTAAAACCAGTTTACCTCGGGATCCCAGCCATGAGAATTACACATTCTCCTTTTGTCTGTGGCCTGTTTTGCAATTCCTCCTGGGCCCCCTCTCCTCCTTTTTCTCCCCAAGGAGACGAGGAGGCTGGGGGACCATGAAATGGCCTTTCGATCGCTAGACTGAGCTTGTCAAATTAGAAACGGGAATTCTTTCTTTAACTTCAAAGAAGAAGAAAAAGTTCTCAGGCTGGTTTAAGGGCAAAGAAGGAGGGTAACTTTTCTAAGCCTACTTTTGATTCACCTTTCGTTGGCCTTCGTCCGTAAAGCGGTTTTGGGGCCTTCTTGTGAGCTCTCAGAAAGGAAGAAATAGATGTTGGCCCACAGTCTGTTCCCTGTGGGATGCTTGGTGCTGTTTGAGCTTGGTGGCTTTCTTGCAGACGTTTCATTATCCAGCTAGGTAACGCCATCAAGTTAGAAAGGAGTACGGTATACAGGGAGGAAGAGGAGGAGGA